ATCAAATAAGCGGGAAACACTAACAATAATAAGAGGACACGTGTAATTTTTAGAAGACATGTTAAGAAAAAATTGAAAATTATAAGAAAATTACAGGTGGCATATTTAGGGTTCTTTTATTAAGATAGGTAGACATGTATTACGTGTAGAGATGGCAACGGGGGCGAGGAACACAAGGGACCCCAATCCCCATCCCCATCCTCGAATCCTCATTTCAATCCTCATCCCCATCGGAGAATATAAATAAACTCTCATCCCCACCCCCAACGGGACTGGGGATCCCCAACGGGGAAACGAGGATTTCTTTTTCTCTTTTAACATGCAAACTTTTACGTAAGAAAAAACTCTATATTTCAATTTTACCAGCATAAGTTTAAAGATTTTATAAAATATATAAGTACCCATAAATTGCATAAAAAATATAAATAAATTTTCTACCAAATTTAAATACATACATGAAAAATCAAGTAGAAAAAAATTATCAGATTGATATTTAAGGTAAAATAGATCAACCAAAAAGAAAAAAATATATATACACGAGTTTAAATTAGATAAAAGAAAAAGCAAAAAGTATAATTTCAACCAAGTAATTACTAATGAGTTATGTTACTTAGATCAAATTTTATGTATTATAAACTATACTATAAATATATGTTCTGTATTATTTTTATATATTAATATATGTCGGGGGCGGATCCAGGGTCGGGGATTAAGGGTATCCCCATCCCCATCCCAATCCCCACTTTTTTTATTCAGGTATTCCCCATCCCCGTCCCCATCCCCGGTCAACCTGGAGACTCCCCAGTCAAAACGGGTGCGGGTTCCGGGTTCCCCATTGAGTATGGGGCTTTTTTGTCATCCCTAATTACGTGGGTTGTTTTAAAAGAAAGTTAAAAATAAATGTCAAAATATTTGAAAATTTGGAATTTTTAAGAAAATAAGAAAAATAATGAATTATTATAATGAAAATGTTTTTTATCTTTAAATTTAAGCAAATAATTTAAATAAAGAAAAGAAACTAATGAACTTTAATTTTGGGAAATTTGAAATTAAAAGGTAAGTTTATTAATGAAATTGAAATTGATATCCATTTATTACCACATTTATTTCAATTATTACACTAAAATATTATGTGAAATTTAATAAAATAGAAAAACTCATAAAAGGATATTTGGAAAAAAAATTAATTCAAAATAACCACAAAATGACATTTGGCAAATTGAATGAGAGTGTGATAGGTGGCAAAAAAACATTCATTTATTAGAGAGGACTAGGTGTAAAACATGTGTATTGCACGGGTTGATTAAAAAAATAAAATATTAAAATGTAAACAATAAGTATTTTTTAAAATAAAATTTTAAAATAAGGAATTAAGAAACATATAAATTGCAATTTACTATCATATTTATTATATTTAATACTTTACATATATAATCATAACTATTATGTGACTTTTTAATTTTAAAAATTGAAAAAAAAAACCATAAATTGACATGTGGATATATTTATTTAAAAACTATCACAAAATGAAAAGTGTCAAAACTCATTAAAGATTGACATATGACAAAGTTATCTTCATTTATTATAATAGAAAAGAAAAGAAAAGATCGGCTTTTTAGACCACTTCTTTGACACTTGACACATAACATCTTCTCCTAAGCCCTTTACTTTTATTCCCTTCTGTTTCTTTGACCAATTACAATCTCTGAAAATCAGCACTTAAAATTAGATAGGAAGGCATCCTCTTTCTGCTAAACCAATTTTGTAATTTCCGCTCACACCTTTATCAATTTCTTCTCGGGTGATGCTAATAAGACATCCCTTAGACACCCCGTTGACCCCTTTATAAAAAGTCAATCTATAATTAACTACTTATAATCATCTTTTTCGGAAAACAATGCAATTTCAACCAATAAAAATATTTTAAAATTTAATTAGGGTGTCTATATGGTAAATGAAGTGTCTTTTTAACCAACCCCTTTCTTCTCTCCCTAAAATAAAATTCAAAATTTAAATCTTCCCCAAATTTAAAGCCTTAATTTTTGCACAGACGATCCTATTTGTTTGCAAATAAATGTTGAGATATATCTTCTGAATTGTTCTATTGCTTTCTTAGTGTACATAGATGGAAACCCAATAACTTTATTTTCTCGATCAACCGGTTAAGCAGGTGTGAATCCACTCATTTTGTCTTTGCTTCTGTTGGATTCGATAAAGATGTTGTATGCTTCTCTCTCTCTCTCTTTCTCTCTACTACATACATTCATGTTTAAAAATGTTCTTACTTAGAGGATATGCTGCTAATTCGAAGCTCTTGAGAAAGAATGGGATATCGATTATTGAATGCCCTAAATGTGTTCAATGTAATGTATGTCTGAATCGGTTCTATCTATGTCTGTCTTATGTTTTTAATCGCCATGTGATTGGTTATTACTCATGACTATAAGCCATCAAGAAAATGCCAAAATTCGTGAATTTTACATCATATCGATTTTATGCAGCTCTTTTTTATGCAAAATTGATAGCACCTTATATTTTATGGGCCTATCTTCATTTATCTTTTCTCTTTCCAAATTGTAGCTTATTCATCGATTATTTAGAACAAAAGATACTACTATATAGAAAATGAATACAAATATGTTTATGATGATTTGCGTTTGTGTTGATTAGTTGGAGGAGGTGAATAAAAAGCAGCGTTAATTATTGGAAGGATGAAAAGTCATATATGGTGAAGTGTCATTATCTCCTACTTTTGGGTTTTAGCTGACCACAATGAATGGTAATGTGGGAAAGAATAGTTATATTACTGGATTTCATCGGGTTTTGGCACTAATATAAACAACAAGTTTGAAGTCATCACTGTACTAGCTATACAACTACTTTTAAAGCATCTGCTCTATTATTAATTATTGTACAAAGTAGGTAATATCATTTCTTTCTTCCATTGTTACCAATAACTAGTAACATGCTTTCTTTCTTCCATTACCTACCTTGTAACCGGGTTTCATTCACCAGTTTTATAGTGATATGAGCAGCAAATGATTATGTGTGTGAGTGAAGGTGTCTCAAGTTTTGTGACAAGTGATAAAAAAAAAATATAATACAGCCTTGTGGAGTAAGGGTTAGTGAAAATTCTGCATCTCAAACATCATTTTGGCTGCCAATTATCCGTCTCTCAATTGTTCTCGGATTTTAGTTAGAAAAAAAAGATTATGTTATTATGTTGGCACAAATTGCATTTGATTGTGTATACCCTATGGTTTTATTAGATGTTTGAAAAAGTTGAATTATATCTAAATCTCATAATCTATTGTAACCAATCGATGTAATAATATGTTATTTATTGTATACTAATGACTTGGTGTTTAAAGTATTAATAATTTTACATGAGAACGGGATCAATTAATTAAGGAATTTCAGTTGTTGATTGTAAAAATCAATTAATTAAAGAATCTGTGTCCCCTTGTCATAGTTCACTCATGCATAATATTATAACTTATGTTCTTATAATTTAATTTATGGGAAATAAAAATACTTTTCATTACATATGGACAAAAATATTGTTTTTACAAAAGGTATTGTTTTATCAAATATTCTATAAAATAGTGGTTTTCAAAAATGGGTTGTATATATGCATGTTACACTAGGTTATTTTTTGGTTTTAAAATAAAATCATGCTTTTGAAAAGAAATTAATGTCATTGTTATTTTCAATATATCAAATTTTATATTTGATGCTTGGCCATCATTATATATTTATTAACTATCATAAAAAAATAATGTTGTTATTATTTATAAATTATTTTTAAATAAACATAAAATACTTAATAATATAGTGTTCCAGTGTGTTATATAAATAGTTGTTTTCAGTTTTTCTGATTAATTGCTATCTTTTTTAATATTTTTGTTATTCTAAAATTTCAACCAGTTATAATTATAACCTAGTAATAACGACCTCTCCAGACTCTAGTTCTCCCAAATCAGAAAGACAGAAATATAAACGATTGGGTGAGGTTTCGTTGATGTGAATCTAGCTTTTTGAGCGAACTTCTCCAAATCGATTCAGTAATTCTCAAGAGCAAGACTTTTTCATTGTAATCGAGTCACCAGACTTTTTGAACGAAGCATCGTAGTTCTCTTTTCGTCTCTAATTTCTCCTGTTGTAGGTAAATATTCTAATTCTAGGTTTCTCTGAATTTATGATTATCTGATATAGTGAAATTAGTTTTATGAAATTATAAGTTTTCTGATTTTCGACGAGTATTGACTGATATTATGATTGTGAAGCAGTGAGTTGAGTGAAACTTTTCTGTTTCTGAAGTCAGCATAGTATTGTGACGCAAAGAAGCAGTTTTCTGAATCTGATTTCTCTAGATCCAACTTTATAAAGCTTTTCTTATTCTAAAGTCAGCAGAGTCAGAGTATTGAGGTAAATTCTTTTTGACTGAAACTTTACTTTTATTGATTTTTGATTTCGAATTGAGTAATTTTTTTGTTCATTGTTCTGAAATTACAATGTTTTGTTCGTTTCAGTTTTTAAAAATTCAGCCTCAGGCTTTGCCCTTCAGGTTGTATCTTACTTTGTTTAACTATTATTTGTTGAATTTAATTGAATTTAATTGTTTGAGTATGTTTCCACGTCAACAACCATCGGGTGCACAAAATGTAAAAAGTAAAACAAAGAACAATCACTTGTTAATTCCTTGCAAGGATCTTTAAATAAATATTTTTCTAGAAATGAGAATGTAGTTGACAATGATAACGAAAATAATTCTAATGACCCCTAAACCTATAACACGTTTTTGTAGAAAAAAAAACAATTTGATGAAATTCTTAATACCTAAAGAGAATAACAATCTTCTCAAGAAACATTTGGAACTGATTATTTTATTATTCTATTGCCAAGTGCATAATTATCTTATAAAAAACAAATACAACTAATGTTTTGTAATATAACCGGTGCCCTCAAGAAGAAAAAATACATTTTTATTTTGTTTTCACTCAAGTATGAGGAGCAGGTAAGATATTTTGAAGTGTATCCCAAACGTGATGCAACTCATGGGCAACAATTCTGATCTTCATTCGTTGTGGTGGTGAATCCATGGAGCATGATACTCCAATCCTGACAATTGAAGCAACACATTCCTCTATTATTTTTGCATTTGCTGACGTGCATTTCTTAGGAACAACATGCTCTTGTAGAAAATTTAAAAGATCATCATCAACTACATCAGTTACATGATCTGGCAACGCCAAGTATGCAAATTTATGAAGGCTAAGGCCTTCGTTGAAGATGTTATCCGTTGGCTTTTTCCCTGTCATCACCTCCAACAATAGTATTCCGAAACTGTAGACATCTCCACTACTTGTCATCTCACTCCCAACACCATACTCTGCAACTTTGCAACTTATAACCAATCACTTTAAGAAAAAAGGTAACCCTAGGCCTGACAATTCTCGACACGACACGAAATAAACGGGTTTGGGTTGAGTTTTTCAACCCGTCAACCCACTAACCCGTTAACCCGTTAACCCGTTTATTAAACAGGTCATATATGGGTTTCTCAAAAAATATATTGGTTGACCCGCCAACCCGTTTAATATTTTAATAAAAAAAATTTATATATATTTTAAATGTATTAAGTATTATTCTCTATACAGTTTATACTTTATATTAGGATAGGATACCCAATATCATTGACCATTTAACCCGTGGGTAACCATCTACTGATTTGCATTGCAACGCGTTTGGCGTTTGCCCTAAATGATCTCAGTATCTCAGAAGAACGGCGACATGAACAATTGAATTATTATCGACCGATGTCGATGCCTGCGATTGAATTTATCTATGTTTGTATTAATGTTTTAGTTTAGACGTGTTTCCATGAATGTTTTTAAAAATTTCATTTGGATGGTTAAGACTTAAGTTTCTAAAATTCAGATATGTTTGCATTAAGAATTTGTTCATGTTTAATTATCAATTTCATTTATGGAATCCGACCCACGAACATACGAACCCAAATCTGACACACGAACCCAAATTTGACCCACGAACCCGCCAACCTATGAACCAGTATAAATAAGTGGGTTGACGGGTCATATATGAGTTTATGTTCCAAACCCGCTAACCCGTGACCTGTATAATTAAATGGGTCGTGTTTGGGTTGGTATATTTTAACCCGCCAACCCGCGACCCGACTACCCGAAGACGACACGATTGTCAGGCCTAGGTAACCCCATAAATAACTATAAGCATCTAGGAATACATAAACTTTACCTGGAGGTGTGTACCCAATCGTTCCTCTAATGCAACTTGTGTTGTTTTGGTTTGAATTTGTTCCAAGAAATCGAGCTAAACCAAAGTCTCCAACATGGGCCACCATATCATCATCCAACAAAATGTTGCTTGGCTTCAGGTCACAGTGAACGATGCTTGGGAGACAGTGATTGTGAAGATAATCGAGTGCAGATGCGACATCAATGAGAATATTTATTCTTTGAAGAAGGTTCAGTCTTGATTTACTTTCAGTTGAATGCAGCCAATCATGTAAACTCCCATTGGGCATGAATTCGTATACCAAAGCTTTGAAGTCATTTCCTTTAAAGTCAATGCTTGAGCATGAAGTTAGTATCTTCAATAGATTTCGGTGTCGAATATTACGCCATGCTTCACACTCTGCTATAAAGCTTTTATGAGCACCTTGGTTTTGAAGATGTATAACCTTGACAGCAACATATTTATCATCATCATCAAGGGTTCCTTTGTAAACAGAGCTGAACCCACCCTCACCAATTAAATTGGCTTTGGAGAAGTCATTGGTAGCCTTGAGAAGTTGATTGTATGTGTATGATACTTGTTTAGATTGTTCATCGTCCACTGAAGACCGAGATGGTTGGTCTTTGATTTTCTTACACCAAGCATACAAAAAGCATAAAACGGTGAAAAGTGTGGATGCAATTAAAAGGCCTATTACGAACACATGAATCCTTTTTTGATGTTTTCCCGTCGTCTTCTTGCATTTGGGCAAATCAAGCTCAGCCAAGCCACCACAAAGCCTACTATTCCCCAAAACTGAGTATGCACTTGCATTGGCGAACACTCCAACCACCGGTACATCACCCTCAAAATCATTATAAGATAGGTTTACATATTCTAATAAGATCAACCGCTCCAAGAATCGAGGAATATGTCCTGATAAATTATTATGGGAGAGATCGAGTGTCGAAACTCCTCTTAGGGAACTTAATGATGGTGGTACAGTGCCTTGAAATAAGTTTCCTTTGAGGGATAAGAATACAAGGCTAATGCAACCACTAATGCTACTTGGAATTTTACCTGATAAATTGTTATAAGATAAATCCAGAGAAGTCAACATCTGGAGCTTGCCAACCTCTGTTGGAAGTGATCCAGATAGGTTGTTTTGAGAGAGATTTAGTACTATGGTTAGAGATATAAGTTGAAGAAGTTGCTTAGGTATTCTTCCGCTTAATTTATTGTCACTAAGGTTTACATCTAATAGATGATGACACTTTCCTAGGCTTGATGGAATATGGCTTTCCAGTCTGTTGGAATTTAACCTAAGGTTAGTCAACAATGATAAGTTCCCTATGGTGTCTGGAATGGGCCCAGAAAATTGGTTCTTAAATAGTGCAGCAACTTGCAGCTTTTGAAGCTGACCAATGGTGGATGGGATTTTTCCTGTGAATCGGTTATTTGCTAATATTAATGTGGTCAAGCCAGCTAGATTTCCTATACTTGGAGGGAGGTTTCCATATATAAGATTTTGATCTAAAATTAGGTAAGTGAGTCGATCAGAAAGATTACCGATTGATGCCGGCAGCACTCCTTGAAGCTTGGAACTTGAAAGGTCCAATATGTCTAATTTTCTGCAGTTTTTCAAAGTATCAATAAACTTCATATCATCAGCTTCTCCGAATCCAAAGTTGTTACCACCTATGGATATCCAATACATATCTTTTAGTTTTGCAAAGTCAATTTTCAACTTCCCACTAAAGTTGTTGTCATGCGCTTCAAGAAACCCTAATTTCGAACAATTAGATAGTGATGCTGGAAGAGGTCCGGTCAGTTTGTTACCGTATAACTGAAGATATACAAGACGAGGGAGCATTGCACCTAAAGCTGAGGGAAGACTACCGGTTAGGTGATTTGAAGACATGGAAAAGTGAGTTAAGAGTGAGTGGTTAAAAATGGAATGAGGGATGGTTCCATTTAAGTTACAACCACCAATGTAAAATTCTGTTAAGCTTTTCCAATGGCTTATGGTGTCTGGAATGCTCCCACCCAACGGATTCTCACTAGCACTGAAGGATTCTATTGATATATTCCCCAAAACAGACGGGATTCCACCTGTTAGCTTATTATCATGAACTGCAATAAAAGTAAGTTTTGAGAGGAAACTGATCTCTTTGGGTATGCTTCCAACTAGCTTGTTCTCATTAAGTCCAAGCCTTTCAAGTTTGGAACAACCGGACAAGTTGCTTGGAATGACTCCATTGAATTTGTTATGGCCAAGATCGAGGACACGTAGTCTGTATAGACGACCGAGTTCATGAGGGATGGTTCCTTGAAAGCTGTTGTTTGCGATAGAAAACAAACGAAGGAAGCTGAGGTTCCCTATATAAGGAGACAACGAGCCTTCTAGCCCTTGCGACTCCAACCATAGAGCAGTGACTTTTTTATTCTGCTTCCCACATGAAACACCACTCCAATCACAGAAATGAAAGGAAGAGTTCCATGAGCTTAGAGCTTCTTCATTCCTGATCATCGACTTGAACTGCAACAACGCTTGATAATCGGTCTCATTATTACCGACACCAGAAACAGTAATCAGAAAGATAATAAAACAAGAAAAGATGAAAGCAAAACAGGAGGAAGATGATAAGGAAGTTGTTGGTTGCCCTGAGTTCATTTTTGGAACTAAATTAACTTAGGATTAGGTACAATGATATGTAGTTGCTCGATTTTATAGTTATATTCAAACATACTGAGGACCCAACTCCTCAATTTTTTATAGCAAGAGTTGATCCGTGATGATGATGGAGTGATTATTTTTATGTTTGATCATAAAACGTTTCTTACATGACTTACAAAAAACGACAATAAGTCTTTGACTACCGGATTTTATCTTGTCAAATTACATTAAAACATAACATTTTCATTTGCTATTTTGATTAATTAACTCTCTATTTTTATACTCTGTCATTTTTTTTCATAATGTTACATAGTTAAATATTCGACTTAAAAAGTAAAACTTAAATTGTAAAAAAGATATCATCCATTGAGATCGTTAAAATAAATACATTACGTACTGTTAATTTTCATTTATCATTTTTATTGATAAGTTATGTACTTAACTAATTCTGTTAGAATATTTAAAATGATGTTATTATCTGCTTTCCGCATTCAATCCCAAAATATGTCTTCGTTTCACACAAAGGCAACAACTTTTGATTTTTTTTACCTTAATTAGTTTTCAAACTCCTTTTTTGGGCTTAATATATATGCTTTCGCTTGACTTATTCAAATCCCACGTTTTGTGGGTTGCATAATGCTTAATGCTTAATGCTTAAGCTTTTAAGGTTTCTTTTCATTAAACAATCTTAGTCTTACTCGAGTAAAAGATCAATGATATAATAAGAGTAGTGCGAGTAGGTACTAAATCAGTTGGGCCAACAAAGGAACTAATTCATATTATTGCAGTTACTCTGTGATTTTACATTCGGTTAATTATTATAATGAAATTATGTAATTACCAAGTTTGTTCATACAAATTTTACCAGTACTCCTGTATCAATCGAAGGAATCACCACTCCAGCCTTGAGTTTTATCAGATGCCGTAACTTAGAGGAAATAAAGATAAAACGTAACCATAGAGCAACGACTATGAGACACAGCAAGAAGGTTTTTTGATGGTTACGACTAAAACGAAAAAAGAGCAAATATTTTTACTCAAAATCCAAACGTGAAAAAGAGCCAGTTTACTGATTAATTCCTAAAAAGGACCAAAATACCCTTTAGTTAGCCCCTAAATTCTACTCATTTTGTCTTTCGTTTTCCAGCTTAGCCAACACAGAAACATGAAAAAATATTAGAAATGTCTATTTTTAACAATAAACCAACAAAAGACCATACTGCCAACCTCAAGGAAAAGACCAAAATGCCCTCGTGTGCAAGGCATGAGAATGGGAACAAAAACGTTATGAAACTTTAACGACCCAAAAATCAAGGGTAAAAATTTCATTTTTAATATAACTAAAACATTGATACCATTTAATTCAAATATTTCAATTCATAGTCAAGTAAATCCTTTATCAGAGTTTATCCCAAAATCATTCATTGCGGAAATCATAGGTGTGTGCATTGCGATCAATCTGATCCCTTCCTTTCCAAAACGATGATACCTGAAACCATAAACAAAACCTGTAAGCACAAAGCTTAGTGACTTTCCCAGAGCATACCATACACACAATCCACATATCACATATCCTGTTAGCTATAAAAGCTACCTGTATCACATATCCTGCTAGCTATAGAAGCTACCCACAACACATAAGCCATGCATACAAAAACCTGTAAGGATGTCGTGGGCTCCCCCAGGGTCTTACACCATTGTGCCATGGGCTACCCCACATGGTCTTAACCTGGGAATGTCATGGGCTACCCCACATGGTCTTATATCCAATTGCCACAGGCTCCCTCCGGGGTCTTCCATGCAAGTATCACAAAGACAAATAGCATAACAGACATCACATAAACATATCATATATCACAGAAATATCTACACATAACACAAATAAACCTATAAGGATGTCGTAGGCTCCCCCCAAGGGTCTTACACCATTGTGTCATGGGCTACCCCACATGGTCTTTACCTAGGAATGTCATGGGCTACCCCACATGGTCTTACATCTAATGCCATGGGCTACCCCACATGGTCTTTACCTAGGAATGCCATGGGCTACCCCACATAATCTTACATCCAATGCAACGGGCTCCCACGGGGTCTTCCATGTAATAACACACAATCACATAGCATATCAAATCACAGAATGACTAACACATATACCATAATCACATAATGGTCCGGCCTTGGTGCCTTAGACCCATGGGTATGGTGAGAAGACTCACCTCGCACCGCTGAAGTCCCACGGATGAACTTCCAGCTGCTGGTTGACAGATTCCCGAGCTGTCAACATCAAACAATACCCAATTAATAATTGGGTTCCAATGCATAACCACAACTCCATACTTGGGGTAAAAGACTACTTTACCCTAACTCAGCTTTATTCAGTCCAAGGCCTAATCCAAAGGCCCAAAAGTCAAACCATGGACCAAAGCCCAACATATGGCCCAATTTTCCAAATTGGGCCCAACCCTTACATGGTCTCATTCAAAGGCCCAACCATTTAGTCCAGTCCAAACATTTGGCATTTGTAATGGCCCAATACTTCATAATCATAAAGGCCCAATTATGGCCCATCTGTGGCCTAATTTTCCAAATTGGGCCCAAACCATCACATGGGCCTTACCCTAAAGCCCAATAAACTATTATAGTCCATATGATTGTTCTTGAATGGCCCATCAATATCCCAATCATCAAAGCCCAATAGAAAGGCCCAACTCAAAGCCCAGGTGAAATTAGGGTTTCACATAAAATGACAATTAGGGTTAAGTGTTTCTCACTTAACCCATTAAGGACTTAATCCATTAAGTCCACCACTCTGCTAGATAAATCATATGGTGTGATTGGGTTTAACGCATAGTCCAATTCCAATGGCCCAAATGTGGGTCTCGATAAGTCCAAAGCCCATAAATCCAATATTAGGGTTTTCTAAACCCTAATTAGGGTTTCCAACCTCATCTTAGCCCAATAGGCCCAATAGTTAGGTCTTTTGATCAATTAGGGTTCATTAGGCCCATTAGTCACATGTTTGGGCTTTTAGGTTAATTAGGGCTTTATTGGGCCCATTAGGGTTTTATGGGGCCCACTAGGGTTTATTAGGCCCATTAGGGTTTTAGTCCCTTTGTCCAAACATCCCGAACGAGTTACAATCCAAACGAGGCACACCGCCACCCGACACGGCGGCCGGTGGCGGCAGCCACCACCTCACGGTGGTGGTTAGGGTTTCTTTTTCATTATTTTACTTTCTAATACATTTTATAAGGCTTTAATCCTAAAATAATACAAACACAGCTAAGCTAAACACACACACACACACACACACATAACCACCTTGTGGTGGCCGTCGGTGGCAGTGGGGTTTTCCTTCGGATCTCCGGCCAAAAAAATCGTTCCAGCAGCCTCATTTCGTCACCACAGTCGAACACAAGCACCACAACCACCTTTCACGGTGGTTGGTGGCGGCAACGACGTGACAGGAACGGCGACCATGGGGTTCTTCGCGGCTGTCGGCCATCAAACACACCCACAATACACGATAGACGCAGCAGAAGGAGAAGCGCACACACACACACGAACACGTCCTTTGCTCGTGCAATGTTTTAGGATACAAAGTTGAGTATCCAACTGATAACCATTGAATTAGCTCGATTCCATTGATTATAAGTAGTTAATGTAGGTGCTGAAATTGTTCCATCAATAAAGTCGATCTTATTCTTATCAGAAAGTAAGTTAATCATGGATCTCTTCCAGGAATTGAAGTCGATTCCATCAAAAGGAAACAAGGACCGAATTTGGATTATCTAAAGATACGATGTATAAAGGACTAGAAACATCGATTAAATTGGAGGTGATTCAAGTAGAACCATTTTCTGACATTGTGATTGAATTGATGCAGAAAACAGGGATGAAAACGAGAAATTAAGGTGAAAGATCGTTGAAATGAAGATCGAATTGCAGTCTGATACCATGTTAGCTTGAGCTTGAAAGAAACAAAATGATAGAGAGAAAATTTGTAAAGATTGATTCATTGATTACTGAATATAAAACTGAATCATCTATCTATATACATAAGACTGATTAAATAACTATTCTAACAATCTAACAGACTTCTAACAGTAAAAGATGAACTGTCCATAAACTTGTAACTAACATAACTGTGAAGTTGTTGAGTCTTTCAACATGTGAGGCGTTTTTCAATGAGTCATGGTGTAACACCTGCAGATTCGAGCTACTCAATTAAGATATAATAAGCATTAAAAATGATTATTTTTACATATATAGAAGACTATCTAGGATAAATAATCTTAACCAAAGTAATAGTTAGGGTCAACAATTGTAACATATTTGACGTAATAAATAGCTATTATATGAATATTATGTGTTTCATGATTATTATTATATAATAAAATAGGGAAAATTAGTCGAAACGCCTGTAAATTGTAAAAATAAGTGTGCCCAAACATATATATATATATATATATATATATATATATATATATATATATATATATATATATATATATATATATATATATATATATATATAAAGTACACGTCTTCCCGATTTCGAAAAAATAAATTTCGTAAAAATCCGACTCCGTATGAATTAGATATAATTTTTATAAGATATAAAAGTCAGCCGCACACAAGGATTGTGTGACGTAAAAAGCTACGAAGAGAATGATTGACTTTTAGCTAAAGACACCAAAAAGAAAATCGTAGTACTCTTTAAAATAAGAATTTTGAGAAAAAGAATGCCAAAAACGGAGTCCGTACGAGAGATTTACGATTTTAGCAAAATCATTTAATTTTATAAAAATATGGACGAAAAAATAAAGTCAAAATTAGCCGACGGAGTCTAAACGAAAATTGTAGATCTCGTCGATAGCTAAGCGTGGATATAAAGAATGACAAAAACGGAGTTCGTATGAATGAGTTGTAATTTGTAATAGCATGTTTATATATTAAAATAAAGTATAAATCATATATACGTGTGTGTGTGTGTG